CAGAAACCTTACCTTATTCCATGGCTTAAATTATCACCCTGTGCCTCTTACTTCCAAATTGACATCTTTAGCTACACTGTTTCTCTTAAGTTTTAGTTTTGAATTTTTCAATCAATAGAATTACCAGTGTTTGGTAGCTCTACCTAGATACCTCACCATTAGCTTAAGCTCAGTATATCTCAAAGTGAACACCTCTCTTCCATTCCCCTCCTTAAACTACCCTACTGCCACCATCATCTTAACCATTTCTGTGAACTTCAGTCATTTAGGCAACTGAAACCTTGACGATGTCTTTAGCCCCTTTCCTTTTGTCTACTCTATCTCCAAATTCTATCAACTATTCCTTCACAAAATCTCGTAAATCACAGAACTTAGAATTGAAAGAACCCTAGCAACCATCTAGTTCAACGCAGTCAGGAAAGGAATCTCCACTCCATAATATAACTGACACATAGTCAGCCATCCAGCTTGAGGACTCTTCAATGAGAAAGAAACTACAATTTCCTGATATAACCTATGGCAGCTAGGTGGTACAGTGGGTAGAGTGCCAGGCCTGGAGTCAGGAAGACCCGAGTTCAAATCCAGACTCAGACATTAGCTGTGGGACCCTGGGCAAGTCACTTAACCTTGTTTGCCTCAGTTTCCTCATCTGTAAAATGAACTGAAGAAGGAAATGGCAAACCCTTCCAGTATCTTTGCCAAGAAAACACCAAATGGGGTCACAAAGAATTGGACACAAGCGATTGAACAACAAAAACTCATGTTATTTTGGAATAGCTTTTATTCTTAGGAAGTTTTTCCTGACACCAAACTTAAATTTGCATTCTTGTAACTTCCACTCATTATATCTAGTTCTACTTTTGCGGGTAAAACAGAATAAAGCTAATCTTCCATGTTGCAGGTCTTCAAATACTTGCAGACATTTATCACGGCATCCTTCCAGGCTAAGCTAGTTCTATACCAAATGGAATCAAGGCCTTTCATCATCTTAGCTATCCTTCTCTGGACACACTGCAGCTTATCATTGACTTTCTTCAATTGTGGCTCCTAGAACTAGACACAGTATGCCAGATGTCTGGTCAGGACAGAATGTAGAGGGATTATCACCTTATTCTTGGAGGCTTCGCATCTTTAATAATGCCCAAGATGGCATTAATTTTTTTTGGCTGCTACACCACACTGATGATTTAATATGAAGCTGAGTCTACTTAAACTTCAATCTTTTTCAGGCAAACCCCTGTTCTTTTCTCCATTCCCATTACTTTTTCCCTAACATATGACACTATAAGCATACATCTGAATTACTAAAATTGTCTCTTAATTATTCTTTATAGCCTTTAGGTAATTTCTTCTCTAATCCATCTCATATATTGAGATTGCCAGATATAATCCTTTACACCTAACAAGCTATGTATTTTTTAACTTCCTAATACTATTAGAATAAAGTTCAGACTCTTCCTTGGCCTCAAGCTAATTTTCCTTTTTTTTTAACTTTTTTTTCCTAGTTAATATCTTTAATGTAAAGATAGGTTTCAACATTTACTTTTTTTTTTTAAGATTTTGAGTTTCAATTTTTTTTCTCCCTTTTTCCCTCCCCAAGATGGCAAGCAATCTGATATAGGCTATACATGTACAATGATATGCATTAGTCATGTTGTGAAAGAAGAATCAGAACAAAAGGGAAAAACCACAAAAAAGAGAAAGTAGTATCCTTGGATCTGCATTGAGATTCCACAGTTCTTTCTCTGGATGTGGATAGCATTTTCCGTCATGAGTCTTTTGGAATTGTCTTAGATCATTGCATTGCTGAGAAGAGCCAAGTCTATCACAGTTGATTATTGCACAATGTTGCTGTCATTGTGTGAAATGTTCTCTTGGTTCTGCTCACTCCATTCAGCATCATTACCAAGCATGTAAGTCCAGGTTTTTCTGAAATCAACCTGCTCATCATTTCTTATAGCACAATAGTATTCCATTACATTCATACACCACAATTTGTTCAGTTATTCTCCAATTGATGGGCATCCCTTCAATTTCCAATTCTTGGCCACTGTAAAGCTAATTTTCCAACTTCAACTTCTCCTAATGAACTTATAAGGAAGAACCCTGGACCCTCATATATGTGCCCTTTTCTCTCAATGTACCCCAGTCCAACCCATTCTTCTAGGGGTAGTCCAAGTCCTACTTCAGCCATGATATCCAACCCTAACAATTCCATTTTTTTAAAAAAAAATGATTTTACTGCTGCACATCTCACCATGATGTCTCCTGCCATTGACTAGCCTTGATGCTTCTTGATGGTGTAATTCATTTACCATTTAGTGTATGGCACCATTTATTTTGCAGTCATATCATGTTTTCCCCATTCAACTGTAAACCTGATGAAGGCAAGAATTCTGCCTTATACTTCTTTATCACTAGATTTTGGCACACGGTCAGAATGTCTGTTGATGACAAAGATTTTATTATTTTAACTTTTATTTTCATATAGACTTATACCAAACAAACCTATAAATAATCACCTGCAAAGTATAATCCCCACTACAGACAGTTAAATAAAATAACATAAAAGAGAGATTGCTGTTGAGATGGCAACATTACATTTGGTATTATACTACTTTTTATTTTTTCATGAGAAAAGAAAAATTATGTACTTTGATTTTAATAATTACTTCAGTACCCACATTGGTCATTGTCTTTTAACTGAGATTTGTTGCTCTTTGATGTAGTGTGGCATAGTGGAAGTGTCTCAAAAGTCTTAGTGGTTTTACACTTTAATAGCTTAACTATGTACTAAGATTTTTGAGTATCATGCATGGCTACGTTCAGAGTCAGAAAGACCTGGATTCAAGTCCTTTTTCTAACACATTTGTTGAGTGAAAATGGACATTATGTGTCTTTCCAGTGCTGTAGGCCAGGGCTTAAACTTTTTCCACTCGCAATCCCTTTTTGGTTTTGGCAGCATTCGTTGGCGCTGCATGGGCATAATGGCATGTGCAGTACAAAATGCACATGCTTTGTGTTCAGAACCAAGACCGCAGTGAAGGTGTGTGATATAACAAAGGCAAGTGCTGCCAGAAACACCTTGGATTCATTACGCATTTGATTTTTAATTAATTTTTGGCTGTTGCATGTTCAGAAACCTTTTACTGTTGCTAAATTTTTCTTGACCCTGTATGTGGTCACAACCCACAGTTTAAGAAGCACTGCATTGTAGGGAATTTGTAAAGACTAAAATTGAGGTAGTTTTGTGGTGCAATGGATAGACGTCTGGGCCTAGAGTCAGGAAGACTGGAGTTCAAATATGGTCTCAGACACTTGCTAGTTGTGTGACCTTGAGCAAGTCACTTAACCTCTGTTTGCCTCAGTTTCCTCATCTGTAAAATGGTGGTAACAATAGCATCTACCTCCCAGGACTGTTGCAAGGCTCAAGTGAGATAATAATTGTAAAGCATTTAGCAAAAAGTCTGGCACATAGTAAGTGATATATAAATATCATCATCATCATCATCATCATCATCATTTTTTTGGCAAAACAGTTGTTGACTTCTATTTGGTAGAAGAAGTTTCTTCACTGAAGTAAAGGGAGTTACCTTCATATCATAACTACTGTCAATGTTGCTCTCTCATTTAAATGGCTTATATCACATCACAAAATGTTTTCCGTGTTTCTTTAAATTTTTCATATTTGACTGTCCACATCCAGAAAAAGAACTATGGAGTCTGAATGCAGATTGAAGCATATTATTTGCTTCTCTCTTTTCTTTTTTTGTCTTTGTTTCTTCTTTCTTGTGGTTTCTCCATTGGTTCTAGTTCTTCTTTACAACATGACTAATGTGAAAACAGGCTTAATATGAATGTATATGTTGAACATATATCAATTTGCATGAGGTCTTGGGGTGGGGGAGGGGAGAGATGTGGGAGAAAATTTGGAACTCAAAATCTTATGGAAGTGATTGTTGAAAACTAAAAATAAATAAATAAATTTATTAATTAAAAAAGATTTTTTTATATTTGTTCATCTTTATGATGCATATTCCATTTAATTAATACAATTTGTTCAGCCATTTCCAGTGAGGCACAGAGCTCTCCCCACCCCCTACTTTTTATTTGTTATTGCAAATAATGCTCCTGTGAATATTTTTGCATGAATGGATATTTTCCTACTACCCCTTATTGCTTTGACAATGGGTATTATCACCTACCTCCATCAGTCATAAACTCAATAGTGGGACTATTTCAAAGGTTAGGAACATATTACTAACTTCTCTCACATAATTTCAAATTGTTCTTTGAAACTGTTGTCTTAACTATGCTTAAAGGGCTTTAAGATTTTGCATATCCTTTGAACCAGCAATACCACTTGGGTCTGTATCCCAAAGAGATCAAAGAAAAAGGAAAAGGACCTCTATGTACAAAAATATTTATAGCAGCTCTTTTTGTGGTGGTAAAGAATTGGAAATTAAGAAGATGTCCATCAATTGGTGGATGACTAAACAAGTAGTATGTGTTTGTGATAGAATACTACTGTGCTATAAGAAATGACTAGCAGGATGGTTTCAGGAAAACCTAGAAAGACTTATATGAATTGATGCAAAGTGAAGTGAGCAGAACCAGTAAAATATTGTATACACTAGCAACAATATTGTAAGGATGATTGACTGTGAAAGACTTAGCTACCATGATTAAGACAATGATCCAATACAATTCCAAAGGACCCATGATGAAAAATGTTACCCACTCCAGAGAGAGAACTGCTGAACCTTGAGGGCAGATTGAAGCATACTTTTTTTTTTTACTTTATTTTTCTTGGGGTTTTGTTTGTGTGTTTTCTTTCACAACATGGCTAATATGGAAATGTGTTGCATGATTTCACATGTATGATTGAAAATGTTTGTTGACTGAAAAAAAAAGGTCGTCCTAGTTCATAGCTCTAGGATTTCAAATGTGGAAGATAATTTAAATTTTTTTTTCTTTTTTGATTTCTTTACTTTCTATAGCTCCTATCATCACCACTCCTCTTGAAACAGTAGATGCATTAGTTGAAGAAGTAGCCACCTTCATGTGTGCAGTAGAGTCTTATCCTCAGCCTGAGATTGCCTGGACTCGTAATAAAATTCTCATTAAGTAAGTATGTCAACTCGATTCTCTAATGAGAATGCAGTTTACTGTTGTATGCTATCTCTCTGAGAAGGTTGGCAGAGGGGGCCAGCCCTAGGCAAAATTATGGTGTAGGTAAAATTTGGTTTTGATGACCACACTTCAAGAATATAATGAATGTTAGATAAGAAAGAGGCCTAACAGAGTGTTAGATTAAAGGATCACAGGTTTTAGAGCAAGAAGTGACCTAGAGATCATCTGGTATAACTTCATCATTTTAGTGGTGAGAAAGCTGAGTCCCAGCAAAGTGAAGTAATTAATCAAAAGTCCTAGAGATTTAAACCTAGATCTTCTGACTCCAAATACAGTCTTCTTTCTATTAGTCACAGAGTGATAGGTTTAGAGTACTAGTCTAGCCCCCTAATTTGATAATAGTAGCTCATATATATAGTGTTCTTCATAATGTAGAAAGTACCTGTGAGATTGGTAGGATAAGCCTTATTATCCTTCTTGTAAAAGTGAGGAAACTGAGGTTCAATGAGATTAAATGACTAATACTTCGTCTCAAACTTTGGTTTTCAATTCCAAGTCCAGTGTTCTTTTCTCTGAACCCTAATCCCTCTCATTAAAGTATTCTTACTCTAACAAAAGTGAGGTCCAGAGACTAAATGATTTATCCAAAGTAAAATAGCCAGTTAATGGCAGACTCAGTTCTAATATTCAGGTTGTCTGATTCCCAGTCTAGTAATGTTTCTAAAACACTGTGTTTTCTTCCCATTCCATAATGCCACCCTCCTTCTTATGAGGTACCAGTTGTCCTCACCTTCAAGTCAGATGGCTCTAAAGATGAGAACTGATAACACTCTTTTACATTTTAGAGTTAAGTTTATGTGTATACCTTTCCCAGAGATATTTGCATTTTGAGTTTTCTGTTCAGTTGTGGAAGGAAAGGTTTTATTCTCAGTTAAAAAAATCTCAAGCCATCAAGGAGCAGTGAGATAGATGGTTTTGTGTATGGGGGTCGGGGTATCTAGCCTGAGAATAGGACTTTGAGACTTCCCATGCCCCTAAAATTACACCTCACAGATCGATATCCATTCTATCCACATATAAAATCATAATTATAAGGGTGACACACTTAATAGATAATATTTCATTTATCTTCCCTGTCAAACTATGGCCCACAAAAATATGTTGAAAAACTTGAATATAGCATAAAATGGTATTAAAACAGGTATCCCACACCATGTACCACAATAATTTCTGACTATGTCAGGAACCTAAATATTTTACAAATCAATATAAAACTCAATTTTTAAAAATTGAATTACTTATCTATAGCATTTATGAGAGGGGAAAAATTCTTATCTAGTCACTAAATAGAAGGAATTGTAAGTGAGAAAATAGATAAGCAGCATTCTGGTACTGTGGGAAAAGCACTGGTTTTGGAGTTGGAAAACCTGGGTTTGATTTCCAGCTCTCTCCCTCACTAAGTTACCATGGGCAAATTGTTTTGTCCTCTGGGCCTAATTTTTTTTCATCTACAAAATGAAGAGGTTGGACTAGATGTTCTCTGATGTTTTTTCCAACTGAAAAATCTATGATGTTATCATTATGTAAAAATAAAGAGTTTTTTTTTTTTGCAACTAAAAGCAACATATCCTAAATAATTTTTTTTTAAAAAAGGGAATACAACAGATTGGGAAGAAATCATTGTCATAATTGTTATAAAAATCTGACATACAAAATTTATAAGGAATAACTACAAATTTAAGAGTCATTCACTTTTTTGGAGTCGTACTCAGAAAATAACCCTCTCTTGTAAATTTAAATGAGATTCAATACAAAAATATTTTTATATGAAATCATCTTTGCCTAAGCAGAATTACAAATAAGGCAAACTTTAAAGGTCCTGCCAACTCTCAAAATCTGCTATTCTGACAACATTATTCTGAGAAAGTAAGAGAACCACGATAGTATAGTGTCAGAACCAAAGGGAAGAGGAAATTTCAAAAAGGACTGGGTAGTCAATCTTGTGAAATACTATAGAAAGAATATATTATTTTTAACGTTCTTGGGAGACATCCAAAGCCAATAATGCCTAAAGTCAGAGAAAAGAAAATGAAAGCTTCCAGAGTGGATTAGAACATGGCCCCAAAACAAGTTAGGAAATTCCCTAAATGTGAGGCCATTAAGCAGAGCTGTCAATGCTCCTCCCTGGTCCTTATAGAAAAGCTAAGATTAGAATTGCCTGAAACATTCAAACCTAACTTTCAGACTAATATCTCTGTTCATTCTTGTATAAAATTTTTCCCATTTCATTCATTCAAATGTGTATGCTACACATTTTATCATAGGTGTATGATGCTAGCCAAACACTTGACCATAGTCAGTGATAAGTTCTAGGTGCTGTCAGCCACCCAGCAGTTAAGTGATCCACTAAACACCAAAGGCCTCTTTGGGGGACTCTCCATAGCTCTCAGAGAGCTAGCTATCTCTGTCTCTGAGCTTTACCCCTTTGTGGACATAGTGTTCATTTTTCAGTCTAAGGGATTGGTGTATCTGTGCATTTCTCTAATTAAATCCTTGGTTTGACATTGACGCACCAGAAAACCCTGCCCTCTTCCCTTTGCTTCAATTTTTCAATGCAGTCAATCCCACAAGCATGGCATAGCTATAGTCAGTATTTTATTCTTATCCATAAGAGAATAAAACAGAAGACATTAAATGACCCCGTTGGGGCTAGGAATCTGCACCTTCTACTTGTTTAATCTACAGGCAAGTAGAAACCCCGGGGTAGGGGGGAAGCAAAGCATACAGTTCAGGGATTCACATTCAAACCTTCCAACTCTGTTGTGGTAGGAAAGGAAAAGAATTAGCCATTCACAGCACTAAGCTGTCCTTGCCAATTACTGATGTTTCTAATTTTCATTCACAGATCTCTTCTATACCAACCAGTTCAGAGGTTGTGAGTCTTTACAGGGTATGGCTGGTAAAGTTCTCACAGTGACTGGAGGGGGAAACCCCAAGGGTCTTGGTGTCATGACCCATTGCCTCTCCATTTTCTATCTCTGTCATTTCTCCTTGGAAAGTTTTAAGTCCCATTCTGGTTTATATCTTACTTAGTTTCTGCCTCCAACTGATCTTGAAACCCACCCCTCCACCTTGCCTTTTTCCATATTGTGTTATAAAAACTTTGTGGGCACCCTCCATGTACTCCCAACCCTTGACAGGCATTTCTTTAGATACAAATTTTAATACGGTAAAAAATGATTCTAAGTGTAATGAGGATTATGGAAGTCATGTAAATAATTTACTACTTATAAAAATTTTCAAATGGAGGAAAACAGCACAAATCCGTAGAGAATGTATTAGGTCACTACTTGTGGGTAGTCCAACATCTAGGAATGAAAAAATGCCTTCCATGGAGTTGGGGTTATTTCAGGACTGGCTTAGATCTGGGACTGGGTCAATTCTAGTGCTTTCATTGCTCTCCCAACCAAAATGACTCGCTGTCAAACAAACTTAAATCTCAAGGACTAACCCCTAAACCAATTAGTTGCTCCAGGATTGTCTGTATTGGGCTGTTTGCAGTGGTGTGCTAATCAGCTTGAACCAGCTGGAAAGAACCAATTGTTAAATTCTCAATGTACATATTTATACTACTCTGGAAAATCAACAATTACAAATCAGGCCTTAATTTATTAAATTATTTTCTTATTATTTGACTTAAGAAAATGATAGACAATATCTTAGTAATTCAGATTAAACTAATTGTGCCACATATGATTTTTTTTTTCTTTTTAGAGAAATGGTTGTTAAAGATTTACCAGCCTTGACTATCTGTTTTCTGTCTGGTCAATTCCATGCAATTCAAAGTGATCCAAAAAATGAACAACACAGTACTTGCTGATCAATCAATTTGATCATACTATGATCATACATCCCTCATATACAGAGTGATACACAATCTATATTCTTTTTTCCACAGAAAGCTTACTACACAGATGCTGTCTCTGGACATTAACACAAACATGGAAACCTATAATCTCCAAGACCTATAGTCCAATCCCCACACAAAGCATAATGCATAAATATTTTCTTTGTTTAATCATGTCCAATTCTTCATGACTCCATTTGAGACTTTCTTCGTTTGCCATTTCCTTCTCCAGCTCATGTTACAGATGAGGAAACTAAGGCAGAGCTAAATGACTTGCCCAGGGTCATATAGCTACTAAGTAGCTGGGGCCAGATTTGAAATCAGGAAGAAGGGTCTTCCTGACTCATGGCCTGCTACTCTATCCACTGTACCACCTATCTGTCCCAAAGACACTGGAGTGGTTTGTCATTTCCTTCTCCAGTGGATTAAAATAAATAGAGGTTAAGTGACTTGGCCAGGGTCACTAGGAACTGTCTGAAGCCACATTTGAATTTCAGATCTTCCTGACTCCTGGCCCAGTACAATATCCACTGAACCACCTAGCTGTCTAAATATTCTCTACCACATCCCCCCTAAATGTAACCTAGGTTTTCCTTGAAGACCTTCAGAAATGAGGGACTCCTTTCTTTATAAGACAATCCCAATTCATTTGGTATGAGTCTAATACTAGGAAGTTTTAACTTACATTGAGCTAAAATCAGTTTCAAATATTTTAAGAGTAATAAAGTCTAGACAAAGCCCTTTGTATTGTCTATCTCTATTTCCTTCAGTTGTTGAACTGTGTGTAACCTGGATTAAGTTCCTTTTTTCTTTTTTAAGTTCTTTCTCCAAACTAGTCTTCCTTTAAAGGAAAAATTAGTTAATTTGTCTATGTTCCTTCTGAAATGTGGCATCCAGAACTAAATACTGTGTTCCAGGTGGGATCTGGGACCAGGGAAGAGTTCTATGGAGCTCCTACTTTCCCTATTTTGAAGACTATCACTATATTAATGTAAACAAAGATTAGATCACATTAACTGTTTTCCAGGCATTTCCTCCTTGGCCAGTGCTTGCCCATTATTTTGGAAACCAAGTGGAGTACTTTACA